TAGACCTAATATTTGCACTAAATGGCCTTTGGGTCCAGCCATCTTTATGAAGGCCCAATGATTGTGTGCAAATGTGAGATTAGCTCATTAGGTTTATTATCACTAAATGGTCTTACATTTAACCTCTCAAGCCCATAATGATCAAACACTACCCAACAAGAAATGACATCTCCCTCGACTGCAAGGTACAGTGTTGCACTCTCTACTCACGTGGATCCCGAGAATTAAAACCTTTTGCAAACAATTTGTGAAACCATAATATATATGTATATCTCTATATAAATATACTTTGCAAAACAAATCTTAACAAGTTTGAAATCAATTGCCGATAGTTTAGGTTTTTCATCAGAGATAGTGCATGCCTTGATCATTCACTTTGTCTGACAAAGGGGCTGATCATGTCACTATGATCACTCACTTAGGTGAATTCTCAAACTGCCCCAACATTCTCAGGTTTTGACCCCTGCTAAGGATCTCACTGATTGACATATTAAAAACAACACAATTCGACACCTAGTGCAATACCATAATCAAGTCTAGGGGTTAGGTGTAACATTTCAGTTTTATCCATCTATTTCCAAGGTCCAGGGCAATAGTGAAATTTGGTCCGGTTTAGGGTTTCAAGAAACCCCACACTGCATGTGCCTCAGGTCTCATTCCGACAGTTGAGACAAGCCACCTCAACCCACTTGGCAGCACTAGTGTCAGCCTTGGTAGGATAAACCTCACTAGGTCTATCCAATGGCTGTAAAGATTTTAAACTAACACGAGTCTCATAAGTGTCCAATTTATGGGTATTACACAAAAACACACTATAATAACATAAATCAATTATGCACGTTATTCATTTACAATAAATATCAATCTGGTTGGAGCTGAAGGCATACACCGTTTAACTGTATAAATGCAAATATGTAGAGTGCAGAACTTATATTTTGTATGTATTTACGTTGTACATATTTGCATTTATACTGCTTCCAAACTGAGCCTTAGGAATTGAAACATGCTCATTTGGTATGGTATTGAGCCTTATTACCTATCATTGATTTTAGCATCGCGAGCCTTCTCCTTAGAAAGAGCATCTAATTAGTCCTCCAACCCTCCAATTTATTTTTAATTTTATTTACACATTCAACAAAAGTGTGCTTCCCTAAGTAATTTTCTTTTAAATTGTTTTCAGGATTTTAGTAGTTATTTTGGCCAATAGTTTTTGAAACGTTCTGAAAGATTCTTGGAGAATAATATGAAAACTTTATGGTGGATTTGTTATAGTTTGGCAATGACCCGAAGCCCGAGCATAGCTTTCCAGGGTTTCTTTTTAACCTTTAACCTCCAATTGGGGTGATCTTTATAACGAGTTTATGTAACTTTTGGGATCCATTTATTTCAATGGGTGAAGGTGCCTTGTCCCACTATTTTTACGAAAAAATAAATAAAAGTTTTGGCCTCAAATCTTGCTTTTTAGCCTTATATTTATAATAAATAAAACTGGAATAGAAAATATAAATAAAACCTAGTATAAACCATGTATATATATATTATATGTAGAATATAATCATACATTATTTAATTGATAAAATACAAATTTGTACACATTTTATTTTAAGTTGATAACATATTGTGGTTAAATCGGCCGGTGAATCATGACCTGAAAGGAAAAAACAATTGAACCTTTAGTCCATTTTTAAACCACTGGTTTGCATAATATATTAGAAGTTTGGAAGAGTGGGATGGAAGGCCAAAAACGAAAAAAACGGTTTGATAGGAAAGATAGTTATAAGGGTAAGTTGGATATAAAAAGAAACATAGCATACAATGGTTTTGTATTTGTACCGTAAACAAACACACTCTCATCTCTCAACTTTCTTTCAACAAAGTTCATCTTGAGAACAGCTTGAGAATGTATTCGTTAATCAACGCCTTGAAAAGATTTGTACATTACAATGATTATTTTCATCATTTTGTTTGGGGTTCGACTATGATATCGAAAATATATGATATTTGAAAAACTTCTGACCAGTCATCTGGAATTATAAATGTGACAGCCAATTAGGTGTTATTTATCAAAATTCATGGGTGGATTTTGATTGGTCAAAACTCTTCCTATACTATATCTTTTTCGCATCATAGATTTTCCCGTTTGGTTTATTGTTGTTAGTCCATAGATTCTTGAATGAGCAATTTAGTAATTCTACTTTCATTGGTAACCTTGTTAAGTGGGTTAGGGTGAAAGTGCTGGAAAAGTTCATGGGTAAGGGGATGGGTGTGGGGTTAAGTATTACTTCCCAACCCATAAGCAATATTTTAAAATCTGGCTCAGATGCCAAATCGTTTTTACCTCTAGATCATGGGTCATTAGTTCATCTATTTGGGTCATTACCTCTAGATCATGGCTCAGATGCCAAAAAAGGGGTTTGGGGGCAAAAATAGCGGGGCAAGACACCTTCCACCCTTGGGACAACCAAGCACAAAGAGTGGTCATTCAAAATTTTGAGTACATGTAATGTGTAACCTATATACTTAAAATTTATATTATATTTATAAGTAATGTTGATTTGAATGTTGTGTTTTCACTAAATTGTCATGGAGTCAAGTTTCATACAAGTAATTTTTAATTCATTTTGTTCATAAAATACAATATTAAAATCATTTGAGTTCATTTTATTAATAAATATAATATTGTGATCATTTTTAGTCCAACTTATTTATACTATTAATATCTGAATTCAAATCTACTAGATATATGATGGATAAGATCCAATTCGAATTCAAATAAAAATGAATTAAATTTGGATATCCTTATATTCGATAGGTTCAATCCATTTGCAGTCATAGTGTAACCTGTGACCTAGTGATTGCATCAAACAAGCCAATGCTTCAACTACCTCAGATGGACGTTTTTTAACCAAGTCAACAATTTTTTTGTTAGAAGTCGAGTTTTAGGAAAATCAGACCCAAATTATAAATGGGGTGATGGTTCAAATGTTTCGATAGTCCAAATCAATGGTGGATTGAGAGCATTGCTTGAAAACATGGTTTTGGAAACTAGACCAGACTAGTTGGTTAGACCAATTGACTTAAGAATCGTCTAGGCAACCAGTTTCATTTCACCCTAAAACCGTTCCTGAGCAAAAAACGTTGATTGTCAACGACCCATTGACCCGAACAATCAAACTATAGACCCATCAATTTGGACAATGGTTTTGGTTATTTTTTATTTTAAATCAGAATGTATTGTTCATTTGAACTAGACGATTGAACTGATAACCCAGAAACCGGTGGCCAAAGTGGTTCCAGTTCCGAGTCAATTTTTAAAACATTACTTTTAAATATAGGTCCATAATCTATCCAAAAATAACTACACATATTTTCTATTTTGAAGTCAACAATGTGATGAACAATGCAACCAACCAAAGGTTTTGATTGGATCAAGGTTCAAAATTTCAATACGATATGCCCCGTATCAAGTGTATCGTGTAATATCGATGGCTTTCTGATACACCTATTTACAAGTGTTTCGGGAACCCCCTTATTTTTAATAAAAAATAGGGAAAATTCCTGAATAATACCTTGAACTTTGAGGGTTGTGTCAAGTAGGTCCCTGAACTTCAAAACGTGTCTAATAGGTCCCTACTATTAATTGACTATCAGTCAACACTATCACGTGATATTAAGTGCGCATTAAATAATTTCAAAATGGAAAATTTTCTCTTTATGATATTTTTCTGACCATTTTACTGATTTGTCTGAATGTTAAAAGAAGGAAAGAAAAAGAAGGGTTATGAAATTAGACAAATGATCGTCTGATTAATTTACGGTTGATCATTCAACGGAGGAGGTTGAACAAGAGAACACTGATGCAAACTCTCCACGTGTAGTGAATTTGTCGGGATCTTTTGTTTGCACAACCATCTATAATGGGCTAGATAACCAATTACAGATGAAACGCCAGTATTTAGTATACATGACATAAAGTCCATGCCTAATATTTTGAGCACAACAACAATTTGAATTGGGGTGTAGGCTCCCGTGGGCTGAGACTAAACACAAGGCAGGTCCAAGTCCAAGAGGCCCGCCACCTGACGTGATGGACGATGGCATCAATTTGGTCGCATAATTTGTGAACGTGATAAGAAACTAGAAAGTAGTTATTGTCGTCAGACTCGGCAATTGAACCCGATTTTTATGGGTTGGATAATCTAACTTATGGTTAAACCCGATAAAAAGTAAAAACTATTACGCTTTTGTTCCTCTCTCTGTTTTTTAATCGATCCGAGTTGTATATATGGATCCTTTTTATTAGCTTGATAAGGCAAATTCCATTCAAATAAATACTCATAATACAACCACAAAATGATTAGTAAACAATAAGAAAACCCCACTATGACTAAGTAGCAGACAAATTCATCCAACCCAATTCATTAATGTAGTGTAAAATTGTAGTATTCGAAAGTTTTCAATATAACACCTCACCAGTCAAAAAACAAAAAAAAAAAAAAGAAAGTTTTCAATATGTCGTAATTTATTATTCGTAACCTTTATGAACGGGTCAAATCAACAGCTTTTACGAAAATAATGGATTCTTAAAAAAACCGGAACCGAAAAACACCGGAGTCACGGTTCGAACGATTCGACCGTTCGGGTGATGATGTGTACGATCATCAATACCGAAAAAGTATTCCGTACGATCATCCGTGAAGTAAGGTCGATCTATGCTGGTGCGTGGATCTCCCCAAATCTGATCATCATCCAATTGTTGGTCCCACTCGCGTGTACGGGTATACCTCCTTAAGGTCAAATCCTTTTGTTTTGTTTAATGGTATATCCTAGGTCAGATCTAATCATCAGGGTCGTCAATCCGTCATCAATTGAAATCAAGGGCCACAAAATGATCTTTTATACTGGGTAAAACGTGGCACTAAGAATTCCAAAAGGATTTTTTCCTTACTTTAAGAACTTTTGCTGCGTGGTCAAGGTTTTTTTCTTTTCGCTTGGGGTGGGGGAGAGAGAGAGAGAGAGAGAGAGAGGGCAGGGATGCAGTTGATGTCTACGTCGCGCATATCCATTAATGAGATGACACCTCTGTTTCTTACATTACTTAGATTGTAATTTTTTAATATATAAATATGTAATAAATATTGAATTAGAAACCGGCGATTTCCTCCCGGACTTAGCCGCTGTTCACAAATAGAGAAGAACAAAAAGGAAAAGAAGGGCCGCCATGGTTATCGATCTCTCTACATTAGAAGCTAGGTATCATGTTTTTTTTTTTTTAATTCTCTTTCTTTGATTCTCATTTCTCACTCCATGTCTTCCCTTTTATTTCTGTTTTTTATTTTTTTATTTTGGAGTATGGAGTTATTGGCGAAAACTCAGGTTTGACCTTCTCAGAATTTTGTATGCTTTGTTAAGAATTTATCATCTGCGATGTAAATTTTTAGTGCATGTTAATTATCCGGAATTGTGTAGTTGAAGAAATGCCAGTTCTATGATTTCCTCTCCTTTCTGTTTTTGGTTTTTCTGGACTTTAGATTTATGAATTTGGTGCTTGGCTCAGCTTTTGATCTGTTTTTGGTTGTTTACAAGCTCAAGGGGAATGGTCTGGTTACACACTTAAAACGAGCTAATTGGCATGTTTGATCAATATCATGGCACAACTATTGGAGAAGAATTTACTCGGAAATTGATATGCATATGACATAGTTCATGGCTTCCTGCACTGCAAAAGTGTGAATGTTTATCTTGACAGCTTTGTTATTTCTACACATAAAAGCTCATTTAGTAGCTAGAATGGAAACATGTCAAAAAAAAAGTTTCACTTGTGTCTTGGTTCCATTTGATATTTTCTTGGATAAGTAGTACTCGATAGTAAATTGAAATTCACCTTGCTATGTATATCCAATGGCATCATCTTGTTAAATATGAAACCAATAAGACCCAAAGCTAACTTGAGTAAAAGTTGGTTTGGTAGGGTCTATGGGGTTAGATTACTCTCTGGACTTGGTACCAGTAATTTGCGTAATATGCACTTTTCTGATGTTGAGTTTTCTTGGTTGATTTAGTTTAATGGCAATCAAAAATATCCAAGAGATGATGTACAAAATTGTATTCCACTATTCTAGCTTCATTCCCCTCCCCTCCAGCGAAAGGAAAGGGAAAGAAAAGCTGTCAATTGGTACGACTTGTCATGGATTGCCTTGCCAGTATCTATTTTTCATAATTAACTCCACATTTCTTTGTTTTTGGCACTAGATATGTTGATTCTTGCAAAATCCAAGGTGTGCCGCCAAATTCTGCAATTTTATCAGCTTTCTTTAAGGTTTGTCCTGGCCTACATCATACTGTTCATAATTTTCTTTTGTTGTTTCACTTCATAATGTACTTGCACTCATTTTGGTTATGAATAAGTTGTGGTATGAAAGAAATTTTGCATTATTGCCTTGGATCTTTATTGTGATGAAAACTTAGGAAACAACTGAGAGATCCTAAGATGAAACTTGGAAAGTCAGAATTGTTAAAGAAAGTGTTTTCTGTAACCTAGGAATAATTCCAGTGTCCATTCTATGTGCTCAAATAGGAAAATCAATATTGTTTGAATAAACCTTTTACCATTGCAAGTCTGTGCTTCTGGTTGTTAATCCTTCATCAGGTTTACTACATTCTCTGTAGTTGTAAGAAATTGAGAGGGGATCTTGGATTATTTGAGAATGATTATTGATCACGTAAAGCTATGATAGATTAAGTGTGGGAAGTGCCTTTGTTTGCTCATTTGAAAGAGTTGAAAATAAAGAATTTTCCTTTTCTTTTTTTACTGAAAATTTCCAGGTAGTTCAAAGTAAAGCACCTGTCAGTAGATGATTTGAAGCATTTCCGACATGATTAGAGTGCTATAGATGGGTGTATCATTGCTTAGGTTATTGTACAACACTTGTTTTCAATCATGTTGAGTTAAATTGAGTTGATGCTTCCATATATCAAAACACATGATTCAATCAAACAACACTATCAGATTATCTAACATGACATTCACAAGGAGATCTTTTAACTGAAAGATATTTTATTGAATTGTCCAATGGTTGAATTAATTGAACATCTTGTAGAGGTATCATCCTATTGGGGATGTTAATCAATGACCTACTAGCCGTATCATGTGACATGTTCCTGAATGTCAAGTCTTCATGTGCTACCTTGTATAGTGTGACATTGGGCTATGCTCCCAACATAAATAAACAATGCTGTGTTGCCATTAAGTTATTATCGTTGTTTGTTCTTGGTGTCACCACCATCATTGTTGTCCTTCTACGGTTAGGATTGGATGCAAACAGGAATTTATCAAAAAAAAAATGGTAGACAATAGTCATTAGTGTTCTAAAAATGAAAGGTTAATTAGTTTCTTGGATAAGTGCACTTTAGCAGTGTTCTTTTATTGTAAAGTTGTATAATTACTGTTTTATCCAAAAAAAGTGACATTATTGTCCCTTCACATATTAGCAAATTTCAGCACGGATGGGTAAGTGATTTACCCAAGTTTCAGTAGGGTATTATTTGCCCAGGTAAATGAGCTGCTCGACAATCTTCTTTTCTATGGGACCCACTAATACCTTAATACAAATACGAGTTTATTTCTTTTCTGTAGGACCCACCAACTTATCCACCTCCACTTCTCAGAAAACGAATGAGGCCTATAAGGCCAACCAAATCATTTCCTATTGAACTTTGTAGCTTTCATGGAATCATGGTGAAGTCTTTCATGTTGATCAATTTGTTATGCATCTAAGTTTGAGCTTCAGATAGCTGGGACCAACATTGGGTAATGACCATTATCTAAATAACTCCATTATTCCTATCTTTTCAAAAATAGCAAAGAAAAAACTTCCTTTCTTGATATTTCATTAAATATATTTCTTGTTTGGTTTTTTGCTTCAACAAAGATAAGAGATGGAGCATGTACTCCCCGCCCCTAATTTCTTGCTTGTTATCTTGTGTCAGAATTTGTTGGATGCATTTTTTGAAGTAAATTTCCGATGGCTAGTTTAATTTTTATTCAGGCCAAACTTCAAAAATCTCATCATGAGCCATGTATCATAGAGGTTGTCTTGGACCAGCTGAAAGATTCTGATTTTCCTTCATTAATTGAAGTGTTCTCGGTAATTGACTCGTCTGAGATTGATGCGGTAGACATATTTCATGAATCGCTGTGTATATTGGATGGACAGTCTGTCTTATCCTTGATGTTTGAAATCAATCAGAAGCTTCGAGTTGTTGATCTTCAAGATTTGTCATTTGACAAGGACTTCCTTAGGTAAGTAGTGGTGCCTACTAGTTCATTCTTTTTTGGAAGCATTGTGTCTTCAAGTTTTTGATACAGTATATGGCTTTTTCCTTCTACTTTCTTTTGCTGAATTTTTTGAGAGTTGATGCAATGAGAATTATATGCTTGGAAACTTGGAAACAAATGACCAATCCATGTTCTATTATTGAATTTCCACTAGGGCAAAATATTCTTAAAATTGTAGTTGTATTGTAAACCATAAGATCATTTCTGCTTTTTTTTAAGAAATCTGTCAGAAAATTAAAATATATAAAAATTTAAGTGGTTTTACTCCAATTTTAATTCATATCTACCATATATGTACTTTTTTGCTGCTATTTACCATATGGGTACTTAATACAAAAGAGTTTACCATTATAGGTGTACAATGATATAACTAAGTTTCACTCGAAAGCCAATTGAGACTTCAAAATAGATCTTTAATGATCTAAGTAAATCATATTTAGTAAGGATCTTAAAAGAATACCCATTGAGAAATAAAATAAATAAAAGAAACAAAGAAATAAATAGTGAACTAGGTTTCAATTGAGTTGATTCCAGTTGCATGAATCATTATAAATTGTAAGGTTGAGATAGAAATGTATGGTTTTTAAAGAAAAGGATAATGCTAAACTATTTTTTTAGGAAAAGGATTCAGACATAAGATTTGAACTGAAACCCTCAAGATTCATGATTTTGTGAATTATCTTGTAAATTGTAAGATCTTGGGACAACTATTGAGCTCACATGTGATCAATAAATTAAAAGAAAATGCAAGGTGATTGACTTTCTAACTATTATTACTTTGCTTTGATTAAGAGGATGCAAACTGTCTCTAATTTCCAGTTTCTTCATGATATGATTGTTCCACTTTGTTGAAACCTAAGCTGATCATGTGTGGTTCTTGGGGAATTTCTTCATCTAACCTATTTCTTTTCTAGTCCTGATCATTCGTAATGCTTCATCTGTTGAGATGTTTGAGCCAGTGTTACTTGGATGCAAACATGGGAATTGGAAACCGTGCATGTCCAGGAGTCTGAATGAATAAACAAGGACTTGTGGACATGTCTATATAAAAGTATACACTATTAAAATAGTTTGACTTTTAACATTATAGACCTATAGAAAAAGGTATGAAAAATCATGTTTGTTACTTAATGTCATTTTATAGGAAAAATGACATTTATAGTGCACATTAGCTGTTCATTTGTATTGAATAAGGAGAAAAAGAAAAATGTCATGTAGAAGTGTACTTCAAGAATCCATGGAATGTTGGAATCCAGTGCATGTCTGAGACGAACACTTCATCCACTGAGGAATGTCCATGCAACACTGGTTTGGGCATAATAATGATTGCACTTGCGATCCTAACATTATCTGAATGGATTTTGTTTGCATCTTTCATGTTTTATCCAAGTTTTACATTTCCCCTGAAGCTGCAAATTTCTCATTGCATTTTCTGAAGGTGCAATCATATGTCCATCCATATTCCTAGTTTTACATTGTAATAATCTTTGATGCTCAATAGGCATGGCATAATACTATACATATCCTGGCTCAATGCTTTGCATTCAATGTCTGATGGTAATCTACCGTGCACATTAGGTTATTTCATAGCTATTTGAGTTTCTTTTTCTTTGCATTAAATGTTAGTTGAGCAAGTTGTCATCTTTTAAGAGACTTGAAAAATACCTACTCTATTAGCTAGAAAATTGAAAGCAATATGAGGTGCTAATCTACTGAAGTCTTGTTTTATTGAAAGAAATAATTGCTACAAGTTTTTTTTTTCTCATTTATTTAATAAAAGACTTCTCTAACAAATCTTTGCTGACACGCGTTTATCAAAAGATAATACCCTAACACCTAACTTATGACCTAGGATATCAGTGCAACTATTGTTCTATTGTAACTTCATTTAAAATCAAAGAATGACCAGCATACCTCTAGAACAAAGATTTCTCTTTAAGGTTCCAATACATTGTCTAAATTGTTTGTAAGTTGCTCAAATAACGTGCAATTCACTTGTTTTCAGATTGGCTAGATAGATAATAGGAAAACACTTTTATGAAACCAAGATCAAGCCTAGTTTTTGACATGTCAAATTTAGGTCAAGAAGAATCGTGGCAGAAGAATGTCTAATGGAAGACAAGTCTTGGTTCCATGCTTCAAAAACTATAAAACCAGACCTCTTTTGGTTTCTCATCTATTTTTCTGGTTTTCATTCTTATCACTATTCCACCCATGTCTTTGACCTTATTTTGGATCATTATTCTGATTTATCAAGATAATGTTTTAAATGCCGTGGATTGTGCTTTAGGCTCCATTTTTGCCTTTCTGGATAAGAGATCCTTAGAGAAGATCCATAGATTGCTGTCTCAACCCCTAGTATTGTCACCATTTGTACTTTGGAGGATTTTAGGTGTTTTTTGGTTGTCATCTGTGTATCATTATTTCCTGACCTAGTTATTACTATTGAATCAACTTTTGGGTTCACTTTTGATACATTTCATTGTAGATTTTCTATGGCATATTCTGGTGTAAGTTTTGGAGTTGCATGCATCATATTTCGTATGGTTTATTTGATTCAAGCCTCCCTTTCATCCATTTCTTCATTCCTAATTTTATGTTCTTCTATTGTTCTTCACACTTAAGTAATTCCACCTTCTAAAAGATGCCTCAAGAGATAGGTCATAAGTTTCTTCCCAAGGAAATGGTACATCTTCCACTGGTATCTTGAATCTAGTATGAAATATTATTTTCTATTATTCCGCTTTATCATTTGTTCAGAAGGTTTGATTACTTGGATCAATTTCTTGTCCACTCTTAGGGATCTTTTATGCAGAGGTTTGACATGCCAAGTATTAAACTTGAGGTCTTCCCACATCAGAAAACTGAACATGGCAGGGAAATTCATGCAGTTACACACTCTTAATCTCGATTTTAGTACTTCACTCACTAGTTTCCGGGAAGATTGCTTTTCTTGCATGCCAAGTTTGATGTGCCTCTCAATGTGTGAAACAAGAGTTGCTAATCTGTGGACAACTAGTGCTGCACTAGCAAAACTTCCTTCTTTGGTGGAACTTAGGTTTCAAAATTGTTTGTGCTGCAATAATACTGGGCCATGTCCTGCATCAATCAATGAGAAAGCAACCATTTTTGATCATGACAAAATTGATTCGGCTCGGCTGGATTTACACCACTTTTCTGTGACATCATCCATTAATCGTGGAGATATATCTGGCACAGAAGACACATTTAGGAATTTGCTTTCTTTGAATGATCTGGTTATGACCCAAGATATTGAAACTACAGCTGAAGAATCATCAGATGATAGCGATTTGGACTTCTCAACCCCTCAGCAGAGAATTGGCTTGGTAGAGTTACTGTCTAATGTCTTTCCTGTGTTGACTGGACATACTGCTTTGCCAAATGAGGTAAGCATGCAGTTTCATAATCATCAAAGTGGCTGCTTTAAATGATTCTCTAATGCCTTAACATGGATTTGGTATTTTACTTGGCAGGTTTCTTCTGGTACATTGTTGACTAAAGAGGAAAAAGAGTCTTTTGCAGATTCCCCCAACTTGAGTCATAGGAAAGATGCTGCACATATTGCTCTAAAGAAGTACATTTCACATCATCCATCACCTATTTGCTTTGAGAAGCACTACAGAGAATACATGATAGCTTCATTGCCCCGCCTGAAAGTTTTGGATAATTTGCCCATCAAAATATCAGACAGGAAAATGGCCAAGATTATTTTTTCACAACACTATGAACATTTACCATATAACCGGCAATGCAAAGAGAGTGTTGTTAGTATCTTGCAGAACCGTGAAATAGGACCGAGTACTACTCATTTGCAAAACTCTTCCAGGACAAAGCAGCCATATTCTTCTAGAAAGAGTCAATATTTTTTTCCCAGGTCAATTGGCGCTGCTAAAGTTGGTTCTGCTGCATGGCCACTCTTACATCCAATTTCTAAATTCAATGACATTTTGGGGGAAGAGAGTAAAAGCTTTCGTCCACGGCAATTTGAGTATCATCCAATTGATCCCAGTCTTATGGTTTTTGGTACTTTAGATGGTGAACTAGTTGTTATCAACCATGAGAATGGGAAACTCGTTAGATATCTACCATCAATGGGAATGCTTAACAGTGTTTTAGGGCTCTGCTGGCTTAAAAAGTATCCTTCTAAGGTAGGTGATTACTACATAGAACTAGATCGAGATGACTTGAATTCAGATCAGTTTGTTATCTCTTACACCACCTTTGTATTGTCATTATTAGTCCTGGTTGAAAGATGCTATTTAAAGGAAATCCTTTTTATAGGGTAAAGACGTAGTCCACATGTTTTAGATTGTAGTTGCCATCTTATATGGGATATCATGGTAATCAATGCATATGCATGGGATTAACAGTACATGTCCCAATGAGTTCTTGTAGGCAAGAGAAATATTGTCATAAGATTGTTCCACCCAACTTTATCACATTATTTTGAACAGTTGAAGTGTGGAAATATTGTCAGATTGTTTCATTGAATATAACCACGGAAAAGCTTCCCATTTACACCTAGGAAATTTCCTAGGTGGCATCCGTCAGATCCTGGGCATGAACCTTATGAGTGCTTAGTTGCCTCAGTTCTATTTATGGATGCTAATTACCACATTTAATATTTGACTAAATCTAACTCATTGGTGCATGTTAGAATATCCTTTTTTTTTTTTCATTCGACTGCTTCTAATCCTTGCTGACGTGGAAATTGCTGATTTTGCTCAATGTTGATATCAGCTTATTGCTGGTTCTGATAATGGTTCCTTGCATTTATACGATATCCATCAAATGGCCTCTACAGTTACAGACAGATACAGCTATGTGGGTTCAGTTACTTTTGATGATTTTGAGCAATTGACTTCAGTTCATGTCAATTCAACGGATGAACAATTTCTTGCAAGTGGATATTCGAAAAATGTGGCTCTATATGACATAAACAGTGGGAAACGCTTACAGATATTCACTGATATGCACCAGGGGCATATCAATGTTGTTAAGTTTGCCCACCATTCGCCCTTTATATTTGCTACTTCATCATTTGATCAGGATATCAAATTGTGGGACTTGAGGCAGAGGCCACTGCAGCCTTGCTACACGGCTTCAAGTTCAAGAGGAAATGTAATGGTGTGCTTTTCTCCTGATGACCACTATCTGCTTGCATCAGCTGTTGACAATGAGGTACTCACTATGAAGTATAAAACCACAGTTGTGTAGACAAATAGTAAACATAAATGGTGAGGTCATTAGGAAATATTTCTGTAATGCAGTGAAACACTTAATTTGATGGATCTGGTATAGGTGATTATCACAAAATAAGAAAAGGAAAGAAATATCTTTATGTTATGATGATTTTTACCTACTAATCATATAGTTTTCCCCCAAGGCACTTGGGCAATCATATGGTATTAACTTTGAACTAAAGACCTCTTCTAGGCAAAAAATCCTAGCACTGTGGATGCTAGCTCCTGTATGTGTAAATAAAATACGTAGCTAACTGTGCAATACTGGACTATATGTTTACCTTCTCTTGGTAGATGCATGTTGTTGTCCAGCAACTTGATCCATATTTGGCTAATGGCAATAAAATTTTGTAGGTTAAGCAACTTTTGTCAGTGGATGGAAGGCTTCACATGAAATTTGACATCACTCCAACAGGAAGTTCCCATAATTATACTCGTTCTTATTACATGAATGGAAGGGATTACATTATTAGTGGGAGCTCTGATGAACACGTTGTCCGTGTTTGCTGTGCTCAAACTGGAAAGAGGCTCAGGGATATTTCTTTGGAGGTAACTTGATCACTTAATTCAGTTTGTTTGTCTATTGTTGTCCCAAACACCAGATGATATTATTATATATCACATGATTTGACACTTTGACAGGCATGTTGTGCAGGAGCTGGAATGTATCTGTGTTTGCATGCATGTATCTGTGTGTGTTTGTGTGTGCATTGATGTAAATGTATGCTCAAAATGCATATTAGAATGATAAAGAGGTGAAATAATATCATACCTAACTGCAATTATATTTGAACTCAATGACTTGGAATGGGGGTTACCACCTTAAATTTTGTAAGGAGTTTAAAGTTTGAGGTATTTCCTAAATAACCTGTGCCTTTCAGGGACTGGGGTTTTCTCTGAGATAGTATGGTTTGGGTAAACTATGGATAAAGTGTAATATACTTAATGAAATTTGGCTTCTCTTGGGTTTTTGTTCTACTGCTGTCAGGCAGATTTCTAGGGATTTGAGTGATATAGCTGTTGTCCAGCTAGATGGGGAGTCTACTAGATGAAATTTATAGCAAAGACTTTGCTGCCACCTGGAAGCTTGTAACTTGTACTGCTTTTTTCTTGGTGTTTTTTTTTTTTTTT